GGCTCCTGGGGGCTTGCTCCCCCCAGGAGGAGTGAGACAGCTCGGCCAGAGTCCATCTCCCATGTCTGGGCTGGCCCTTTCCGGGTTAAGATCTGGGTAGAGGTTTGGGGTTTGAGGTCTGGAAGGGAGGAGCCCCACTCAGTCTCTCCAAGTCTACTCCCAGACCGCTGGTCACCTCCAAGCCCACCTTCTCTCCTCTGTCTACTTCAGGCTTAGTAATGTGGGCGTTCCTGCTCCTAGGATGCAACCCCTAACTCAGGAGAAGTGACTCAGGGCACTTGGGGCCGGTGGCTGAGGCCTCAAGGGCTGAGGCCAGTGCAATCAGAGGAAACTGCTCAGCTTGAAGGGCCTGGGAATGAGCAGGTCAGCTCTGAGGCCGGGCACCCTGTCACTGGGAGAAGGTGGGAAGGTCTGTGGCCCCAGGCAAGGGGGCAGGTGTCTCCATGCCCTGTCAGGTTGGGCATTCTGTTTTTCAAAAACAATCTTTATTGCCTGTATCTGTTTTTCATTCCTCCTGAGAAGATCTGGAAGGGGGCGGAGGGTTGTTCTAGGTGGATGGGCCACAGCCACTGTCAAAGCCACAGGCCTGTTCTCCCAGATTAAGTTTACACCAGTTCCCAGAGGATCCTGGTGGATCCCAGGCGGGATGAGTTCAGGTCCCAGCAACAGGACAGTACCCAAAGTGCCCAAGGGAGGCGTGGCTCTAAAGCAGCTTCCCTTCTGATGCCCCAGAAACAGTCCCGCTGCCCACAGTCACGGGATGGAGGGTGGAGAGCTGAGCAAAGTCCTGGGAGAACAGAGGTGGCCGTGGCACCTCCAGCCTGACCGCATCTGCAGGATGAGAACTTCTGCTAGTGTGTTTTTAAGGGATTTTGCAAAACAGCCACAGCTGTACTTGGAGTGCATATAGGTGACGGCAATTGTCTCCTGAGTGCATTTATCAGTCAGACACTGCTTAAGAACCCTTCACACCCACTGGTCATTTTATCCTCACCATCGCCCTTTGGGGGATGTTATACCCTGCTTTTAGCTGATGGGTCTCGAAGAGATTCAGTAACTTGGTGCAGCTCATGGGGCTGGTGAAGGAGCAGAGAGATTCAGGCCCACGTGCGTGACTCCTAAGACAGTGCTCTCCAAAGAAAGCTGCTTTTGGAGATCCGAGCAGAGAGGTCCAGAGCGGGGACCTGTGACCTGTGAATGCCCCTTGCCATCTTGAGGGCCCTGTGGAGCCAGAAAGCCATTTCTTGTATCAGGAGCCTGAGAGGCTCTGCCTTGGTCCTGGCTGGCTTCAGCCCGGCTCCCCTGAAGCAGAGGGAAGGGTCCTCCCTCATCCCCCTCTTCCTCCTTGCCCACTCGAAGACCCCCAACTTCTCATGCCCTTGGCTCCTGTCTCATCCTCTCAATTACATGCATGGATTTCCACTAAATTAACCTATCTACCAGCTTGGCCTCCTTCCAAGGGGGGCTCTGGCAAGGAAGTAAATTAAGGCGGTGCCTGTTTGCTGAGAGCGCCACTGAGCCCCGGGCCGATGAGGGAGAAACTGCTTGTTAGGCTCCTCACACATGCAGGCGGCTTTCTCTAGGTAAATTTTGATCGTGGAAAACTCCCTCGGCCCCCTAAGAGCGTCTGGAACCCCCAGAACCCTCTGGGAGCTGTGTTCTCCCCAGAAATGCCTCTTGGCTTGCCTGGGATATAGAGCTATTTGCAAAGGTGGAGGAGGATGAGTGATGATCAGAGCAGTTTGCCCCCCGGTTTACAGGCTCGGGGTGAGAAGTTCTCACTCACGAATCCGACATCCTTTAGGATCAACTTGGATGGCTCTTAACATGCACGTGTGCCCCGGGATTTGGATTGGGGTGAGGAGAAAGGAAGGAAGGCACATTCTGAAGCAGACTTCGAAGGGGTGAGCATTTGGCTACATCAAGAGCAGTGGGCATGGGGGAGCCAGAGGTTGCGACTAGAGATGGGAAAGGGGTTTAGAAGGAACTTTGCCATCAGCCTAGAGAGCTGGAGCTGCTTCAGGGGGTCAAGTTGCCAACATGAGTTAGGAAGACTGCAAATGTTAGCTTTTGCGTGGTTAGGACAGCCACCCTGGTTCGTGAAGGCCTAGTGTCTCCATGCTTGTCTCTGGAGAGATTCGGGAGAGGCAGGAAAGAAAAATGAAAGAAATGGGCAAGAGGAGAAGTTACAGGTGTGAGCTGCCCCCCGCCAGCCCCTTTCCTACTGACGGCTACCTGACACCCCTCAACCCCACAAGGCTCATGCGTGAAAACCTCTTAAAGGAAGGGAACCCAGGGCGCAGCAACCATCTCCCTGTGGGCACACCCACCCAGGAAGTAGGCAGGCAGTGAGCTCCCAGCATCAGAGGCCGCTTCACTCCCGGGCCCCTGCCCAGCAGCCTTCGCAGAGCCCTAGGAAGGGGTGGGGGTTCGGCTTCTCCGGGGGGAAAATATGAGTCCCCATTTCTTCAAGGTGATCTTTCCAGGATGGCCAGAAATTCCCCTCGGGTATCCTGATCCAAATGTGGGAGCTGGTCACGCGTTCCCGGAGACTCTGTCATAGGTCTTGTCCCTTAGGTCCTGAAAGGCCCAGCTTAGATCTGATTTCCAGGTACATAATGGGCCCAGGCCACGACCTCCCCGGCGGCCACAGCTCAGGGCCCACGGAAGGCTGGGCAGCGTTTCCTCACGCCAGGAAGCCAGCAGGGCCTCTGAGTGTGAACTGGGCACTTCAGCCCTGGAAGGCCAGCTGGGGAACTCCCAGGGTGAGGAGGATCCAGGAAGGTTCTGGAAGGTTCTAGATCAGGATTCTTGACCGGGAGGCCACTTCAGGCCCTGGTCACCCTTGTCCATCATCAAGGTAAAAGTGACACTGTCTCCCTCATCCTGTGAGCATTTACATGTGCCTCACCCTGGGGACACCGCCTTACTGTACACTTACCTACCGTTTTGGTCTAAAGTCTCAGATTTTGTTGTATTGTTTGTTTCTTTGTTTGATGGCAGCCACTGAAAACTTTGAGGAAGGTGAGAGCCAATCTCATTATCAATCTGAATGAAAACAAGGCTCAGACTGAATTCTGCCACACGCGTAGACATTTCCCCAACACTATTTGCAAACGGGCCCCGCAGAGTTCAGCCGGCCTGTTCTCTGGGCTTGGTGAAGTCACAGTCACCTGTCTCTCTAAGGTGCTGACCACATCTCCCCCGAGATCTCACCAGATTCTTTCACCTTGTTCTTTTAAGAGTCAAGAGTGGCTCAATATTTGTTTGGCCCACATACCTTGAATACCTCTGTTTTCACCAAGGAGAGAGCATTTCTAACGTTACTCTGCTAATTATCCAATGTCTGCTGTTGAGCAGAGAGGAAGACAGCCAGTGGCCTGCCAGAGCCCTGTCAGGAGTGGGGGCTCTGCATGAAGCTGCCGGCCGGGGTTAGGGGGTCCCAGTTTGAATGCACCCTTGTTGAATGCAGCCAGTTGCAGCTGGCCGGGTGACACCACATGGAGCTTCCCACCAGGTCTGGAAAGGGCTGTAAGATCAGTAACTGACATCCCACTGGGGAAAGCACACGACAGCAGCCCTGCCCTCAAGGAGTGCGGACTCTGGTCAGAGTTGCCGCTGAGGTAAGACAATTTGTGAAACCCTGAGTCCCGAGCTGACAGTCAAGTGATGTTGTGCTCAGTCTGGAGCACACAGAAACACAGAGCTAACTTTAGTGGTTCGGCAGCCAGGGAGAGGTCCAGCCAAGGGCTGTCGTGGGCAGGAGGTGACAGTCCTGAGAGGCATAACTAAGAATTCGCATCTCCTCTGTCTCATCGGATCCTTCCAAGCCTTTGCAATAGGTTCCATTATGATCCCAAGGTCATAGAATTAGTGTCAGGGCTGACCTATCAACCCACGTCCATCAAGACCCAGCCCTGCCCCATACCTAACCCGCTCCATCTCTTCCTCCTGCTCCTGATCCCTTCCCTCTGTGAGGGGTGAACTCAGGCAGCTCAGCGGCCCAGCTGTGATCAGCTCCAGCCGACAGGAACGGGGAGCCAAGTCACACATTCCTACTTTCTCTGCTGCCTGGGCCCTAGAGAGGGTGCAGGGCGGCCCCTGGGCTAGATGCGGGCAGAGCTGGAACGGTCCCCGCACCTCTGCATCCTTAGGACGGGCCCTGCCCATACACAGGGACACTCTGAGGGCCCTTCCACCACGCCCTCCCTGGAGGTCAGCACGCCCAGGCCGAGTGTGCACGTGAGGCAACCTGAGCAAGCGCAAGCACGTCGTGCAACTTCTTAGGAAGTCCTTGCGACACCCTAGGGCTTTGGATCTTATGATGCAGAGTGAAACAGAAAGCCAGTCGTCCAGCAGTTTCCCAGTTGAGCTGAAGCTGGTTGCTTCTGCTTATTTGAGATTGGAGCCAATTATCCTGTGGACTCGGCTTGTTCAAACCCTACCTTGGTTGGGGGCCGAAACAAATGCCAGTTAGGAGATACCGGTGGGGTCGGGGGATGCACCCCACGGGGGAGGAGGTAGCCCCAGCATGGTTTGCTGAGAAATGCTGCCTGAGCTTCAGTCAGCTGTGAAATGTGCCCGGAGCACCCGTTCGAAATGCCGCCTACTTTGAATCTCTGCAAATTGCTCGAAAGGCCACTCCGTATCTGCTTTCTGTCCCCTAAACCCCGCTGCCACGGCCTGTGGCCAGAAGAGTCCTGAGGTCACATGCGGCATGGCGACAGGCTGCCTCAGCCCTCCTGGGCATCTCTGTCTCGTCAGGGGTTCTCATGGGGGAGAACTTCCGCTTCAGACTCTGCATTTCCCACCGCAAATCCCCCCACTCCTCCCAGAGGACTCTCAGATTCTCAGGCACCTTTCTCCCTGCCTATCGGAGCCAGCAGCCCTTTCCCAGGGCCTCAGAGCCTTGGAAGGGTCACAGTGGTGGTGATTCTGGGTGGCCCGAAGCGCCCCCCACCCCCCCGCAGCGGCCCTGTGCTTCCTCCTCTCCTTTTACTGAGGCAATAAATTACATCTGTGGCTCCCAGGAGCCTCTCTCCCACCAACAGGGAAGCACGACTTTTTCAGCGATTTTCCCAGCCACTTCTTTCACTGGGCAAGGTGATACGAAAGGTTTCCACATTCCCAGCCTCACGGCAGGAGGCCTGTGAGTCTGCTCTCAGCCGCCCCCATCAATTATTCAGTGTGGACCGAGTGCTTTGAATGTGCAGAGGCCTTAACAAGTATTTTTATAGATTCTTGCCTCACCATGTCCCTGTATCCTAGACAATGAAAGCTCCCCTTGGAGTCTGAAGACGCGGGTCCAAGCCCAGCCAGTTCCCTAAACAGAGCTGTGTGACCCCAGGCAATCTTGTGATGTCTCTGGTCTGTGGTTCCTCTGTGGTAGAACTCTCTGGAAGTCCTCTCCAGCCCGGGCCTTTGAGTGTCCGGGAGAAGTTTGTGAACTAACCGCAGTGTGATTTCCAAATATCTGTGATTCCAGGGGTGGACATGGAAGCTTCGAATGATGAGGTGAGCTGCATCTGTTAGCACAGGACTTTGCAAACCGAGTTTCACCGGGAGAAACGGCTGAGAGAACTCGGGTAAGTGGGTTCCTCTGCCCCCGGCCCCCTGTGGCTGTGAATTCACGATAGGTGACAACCTCCCGCCTGCTGTGCTTGCTGGTGTGGAAGGAAGTGTCAAGGCCATTCCACCCAAACTGCACATTTCAAGGGAGAAGCAGAGCCCTGGGGGGAAGTGAGCTGCGCGGTCACTCTGGATGGAGGGGCAGGTTCCCTGGAGCTGACTGCCAGGCCGGTGACCCCCTTGCCCTCCCAGGCTGGGCCTGTCTAAAGTGGTGGGCCCACCCCCCTCCCCAGCAGAGTGCTGGGACCCCGGGTGGGAGGCGGCCTGGGGCTACCTGGAGCAGGGAAGGGAGGGAGGGAGGAGAGCAGCCCACCGGGCATCACACCACCTGCCGGTCCTTCACTGGCAGCCCCTGGTCCAGGCCTCCCAGCTGCCCCGGAGACTGGCCCGGGGACCCACCCAACAGAAAGTCCGGGGCAAATGAAGTGAGTCCTGTCCTAATTAAGCCAAGCATTTGGCTCACATTCCAAGAAGTGACTCAGGCAGGAGGGTTTCACGGCCATGGGTGGCAGAGCCCTCCTTAGGCTCAGCTCCTTGCTGCCGGCGTCCTGTCCCGTAGAGAGACCCTCACGCTGCAGTGGCTCTGCTGCCAGTGCCAGCAGGGCGGGGCCTCGGTCCAGCTGGCTGAGTCTCACTCTCCTCACCTGCCAGGTCAGATTCACAGGAAAACAAAGCGTTGCCACAAGCATATGTAAGTGTTAGTATTTGCCCCTGGGCTTCCTAAAAACGCTGGGCTTTAAAACATTGAATCACTAAAAAGTGTGCATTTCTGTCACTTTTCGGCATGTGTTGTCATTTGGGGACAGGGTCACAGCACTGAGCTGGGCTGAAGTGCTGGTTCCTTCACTTACATGCATGTGACTTGTGACGTAATCCTAGTCCTAACTCAGGGTCATCCCGGGGCTGACCTAGACATCTGCACGGTGCCTGGACCACAGCAGTGCTGGGTGATGCTCCTCTTCCCCTCTGCCTCTTGATTCTAAGCATGTTCACTTATCCCTACATGCAGATAAAGAGAGAATGGCCACTGACGTATTTCCTTTATTTGCATAGAAAATATGCATTCAAGTTGAACACCAGGCAAGTAGCTGTAAGAAGTATGGGGAAGACTTGGAGACAGATTATGCCCTCTGTGATCTCACAGTCTAGGGCAGGTGGGTTACTCAGGTCCCCTTTAGATGACAAGAGACAGAAGTCCAGCTTAAGTTAGCTCAAGCAAAGGAGAGACTTTATATTGCACAGTATCGGGACGTGTAGATCTCTGCGCACTGACGGGGTCCAATGGCTTACAAGATGTTGTCAGGTCCCCATCTCTCTCTTTCTCTTTCCCAAAGGCTTAGCCTTCTTACTGCAAACAGGCTTTCTCCAAGAGGCCGAGAAAGATGGACCCTAGAAACTCCAGGTTTCTATCTGCCCAGCTGCAATACCCTAGCTGAAAAGACACCCTATATCTATATTTAAATGCCATGAAAATATTCAGATTGGCCTTGCTTGGCAGTGTGCACACCCATTGGACCAGTCACTGTTGTAAAACGAATGTCTGTGTCTGGGACATGTGAGCATTACTGGGGGTGGGGACGATGGGCAGGGAGTCACGACTCACAGTCCCTTCGGAACCACCTGAAATGATACAGGAGTGGTCCCCACAGAAGGGAGGCTGAACAGAGACACATCTGTCCATCTAACAGGCACATCAGAAATGTAACTAATTCAATCCAAGAAGAATGGTCGGTACCTAAGTCTGGTGCAGAAAAGTGCCAAAAATTGTGTTGGGGAGGAGGGATTCCCAAAGGAAATCCATAATCCATTCTCTCTCTGTCTGCGTTCAGAAAGCGCCTACTTAGAGGACTACAAAATGATGAGCTGGCGTTTGAACTAGGCTCAGAGGCTTGGTCAAATTCAGACATGAGGCTACGAGGAAAGGATGAAACCTAAAACTGAGACCAGTCTCCCGCATCCCCCACAGCCCCCATTCAGACTCACTAGAACCATTCTGACCTTGAATCTGCAGGAAGTCTTCTACTGGGCAGGAAACCATCTGGAGGTGTGGACTGCTCCGGCTAGAGTTTATTCACTGGTTCACAGCACCGCTGTCCTCAGCATTTATTGAATGCCTGCTGTTTGCAGAGCTCTGTGCTGGGAATACAAAAGAGAAATTAATGCCCTTTCCATCGAGGAGATAGACAGGGGACGGGGAGCAGGACTCTCTGCCAGTTCAAGGTCGTACAGGCTAGTGTGCAGTGAGCATGACTGAGGCCAGTGCTGGGAGCATTCAGAGAATGGCCTGGAAGGTGGGCTGTCTGTGAGAGCTTTGCAGATGAGGCCAGCTCTCAGCTGAGCTTCAAAGTAGAGCGTTGGACCCAGGGAGAAGGGAGCTTCCTGAAAGGCCAATGATGGATGGACAAAGGGATAAAACCGACAGACCAGAAAGTTCTCCTTCCTTCATTCATCCATTCAATCACTCATTCAACAAGTTCTTGAGCAGCTACTATGTGCCAGGCACTGTTCTGGGCGCTAAGGTCACAGTTGTGAACAAGAGGAATCACTGCCCTCACGGGGCTTACATTCCTGTGAGCGAGATGCAGGACAAGAAAACATGTGACATCCTAGTTCTGTGAGTGAGAAGAGCTACAAAAAAACAGGAAGCAGGGACAGCTCAGTGGGCAGGTCGGAGCTGGGCTCTGTGGAGGTGGCATCGGGGCAGACGGGAATGAAATGGAAGCCTGAGGTCAGGGAGGGTCAGTGGACAGAGCGAGGCTTGGGGGAGGGGAGCACAACCTCGGAGTCTCAGAAGGCCTCGCTGGAGTCTCACAATGGTTTGTGGCAGGAGGAGTGATCTGGGCAGCAAACAGATGGCTCCCAGGAAGTGGGAATTAGAAGGTTCTCCTACTGGACAGAATGCAGCCCCCGCGGGCATGCCCTCTGCTAAGGGGTACAACATGGGTGCGTGGGAAGAACCCCGAGAGCACCCCCACTTCCCTTACCAGCATCCCTCACCGCACACCCAGCGCACATGCAACAAAAAAGCCCCCCCCACAAGATGTCCCAACTCAACTGGCCCCCACCACGCATACACAGCTGGTGCCAAGGGTCTGTCTCTGCGCAGTGTCTTCCTGCATCTCAGGCACTCCCAACACCAGCCCTGAGCAAGCCCTGGAATAAAGATGAGTTGGGAAAGATGATCTGTGGAGGGCCAGACCAGCAGGTGTCCCCTCCTGCTTCGGTCACCATGGCAACCTCAGAGGAGGCGAGAAAACGGGCTCTCTGACAGTTCCTCCAAGCGCCCTGGCTCCTGGCCACTCTGTGGGGCGCGGGACTGTCACCCAGCGTCTCAGCCCCAGTCATCAGGAGTCCCCAAGGCTGCAGAGCCCAGGCGGAAATGTCACAGCCTCCATCACACCTGAGGCCCCGCCTCGGGCTCTCTCTTTAAGATAAGCACCAAGGTTTTGTGATTAAACACAGATGGAAAAGCCTGCCTGGTCACAGCTCCATCTCTGCGTCCCAGGCCTACTGACCCATCACCCACCTGGAACAAAAAGGGATTAGATGCTTTACAAAAGGAAAGAAAAAGATTCGGGTGTGAGCTGTGGCCTGAGCCGCCCTGAAAGTTTATAACACAGCAGGGTCCACTGAACTTCTCCCCAACTCTCCTTTCAAGACAACCCCATTTTCCAAAGAGAGGCTGAGACCCATGCAGGGGAGGCGAGCTGACTTCCCAGTCTCACAGCTCCCACCAGAGATGGGTTCTGGTCCCAGGGTATGGACTCGCAGCCTGGGGACCTGGGGCCCCCTGTCAGGTCCCAGCCTGTGGGTACAAGGTGGGGCTGTGAGGCCCTGCTGAGAGGTGGGCCTGGCTCTGCTAAACCTGGAGGTCAGAGTGGGTGCTGCCGCCCCTTCCTGCAGCCCCCTGTTCCCCACAAGACGCTGCCCGTCCTTGGGCAGCCCCTGAGCCCAGGGCCCAAGTCTCTCTAATGAGGGCTTTCGGCATGGTGACACGGGCAGAAGGCCCCCAGCGCTGCTCTCTTTGGGGAGTGATCAGTCTGCCTGACTCAGGAGCCTGAGGCCCACGGCGGGGGAAGGTGGCTGAGCCCAGCTGCGGGTACAGAGCGAGAGGCACTGCCCGCCTGGAGCGGGCCCGCCGTGGCGTCTGTCTCCTGCGGGGACATTTCTACAGTGAAGAGTTGGCTACCCTGTCACTTAGGCCCCCATGGGATCTGAATTTCCTCAGCAAGGCAGGTCTGGCAGGGGCAGGATGTCTGAAGGATTGGTTCCTGCCTTTCCTGGTCCCCCAGCCCCTTCCCATCACCCACTGCCCTGCGGCTGGAGGCCGGGCGGGTGGCCTGGGTGGCCTGGGTGGCGGGCGGGGCCTCACGCACGTGTACGAAGGAGCCTGTGCGCTGTGCGTCCCCAAGCCTCAAACCAGGGAGCCACGGGCAGCACTTCTGCTGGAAGGAGCAGCGCAAGTGTGAACTCACACGTGTGGAAGGTTGTCATTACGTCCTCGTCAAGCGCTGCCTGCTGTACGCGGTCAGTTAGGAGACAACAGCTGTGAATGCAGACGGCCTCTTAGCAAAAGCTGAGAGCGGACGGGGCCATCCGCTCTGTGGTTCTCGCCTGCAGGTGGCACTGCTCCCTGGAAGGGACGTGGAGATGTGGGGAGGGGAGCTTTTCTGGGTGGTCACTTTATTTTATGACACTGCTTAGCCCTCAGTTATACATGTGTTCTGTCTCCCCGGATGAATTGCATGTTCCCCTTCACTTCGGCCAGGGCTCTTGGTTATAAGCAACAGAAGGCCACGTTATTGTCAGCTGTACACAGAATTGACAGGAGGTAGAGAACCAAGGCAGAAAACAGGCAGGATCAGGGCAGCTCAGAAAACAGAGGCGAGGGGCCCTGTGAGGATCTGTCTGAGACCTACTCATCGGGGTGCTAGGTTCTTACTCATGCAACACCCCC